TTTACCTGAGCGAAGGGAGGTCACTAACTCCAGATGGACAGGGAAAGAATAGCATAGGTCCAAACTAGACCCTCTGAATGTGAGTGACAGTTGTATGGCTGGAACGGACTACAGGGCCACTGACAGTGGCACCAGGATTCATCTCTAATGTTTGGATTTTTGGGAACCCATTCTCTTTAAATGAATACATTGCCCAATCTAGATATGGTAGGGAGGGACTTGGGCCTTACCCAAGCAATGTACCTTACCCTTTCTGAGGAGAGGACAGGGGTGGCATGGGGGTTAAGTGGAGGGAATAGGATAAGGGGAGGGAATAGGAATTGGAATTGGTAGGTAAAATGAAAACCTCTAGAAGTTGAGGGAGGACACAAGCTTTCCTGTGTTTCTATTCACAGTTTTGGCCTTTTAAAGGGCTCCCTTGACAAATATCAGGGTGAAATTGTCCATGTCATGCTTTAAATTAAGTATATACTCTCAAATGTGGATAAAACTATATTTTCTGACCATGTAGAATCCTATATTCCACCTTGAGGAGGACATGACATCAGAGTGTGGCCACACCAGGAGTCCCCTTATTCATCACACATATGCATCTATCCTCAGATGTACAACCTTAGGTGCTTAGAAAACTCCAAAGAGAAAGGAAAACTTCACAATGCAGTTAATCACTTACAGATCTGTATACAAGCCACATAAACTCGTTGACTCTTCATGTAGGTCAATATCTATTTTCAACATTTTTTGACATGAAACTCTGTTGATTATTCCTCTATCTACTCTTTAAATAGAACAGTGTAAAATGCTAGTGAAATGATCCCAAAATTGTGGAGTAGTCCTCACATTTGGGTGCCAGATAATGATGGAAGTTAAAAAATAATCCTACACTAGTTCAAAATTATGTATAATAACGGGGAGACTCACAGATAACATCCTAGAAAACAGTCTTCCACATGAACGAGGAACAGGAACAGAGTCCAGCAGGGAATAAGTGAGAGCTAGATGTAAGTGAGCAGGTTCATGTTTTACAGCTGTATTTGTAGTATGAGAGATCATACTCAAGTGGGCTAGTATCTTAAAGATTATTGGCCAAAGGAGCTTTCAGACCAAAGTCCTTTCAGTCTCACTGTAAACTGCCCTGACATAAGCCAAAGCAATTTATTCATTAACTAATAAATGCGACACATATACATATAGACATCCCACATCATCTCCCCTTTACTGTTTAGTTATAAAGAATTATTTTAACATAAATATGTTAATATTTACAACAAAACAGTTACCAAAAAAGAATTATACTTATAATATTTGGTCTACTTACATTTTGCAAATTAAAGAAAATATTTTATCCTTCTCTCCTAACTTTGCAAATCTAAAGTTTTGTCTCTAATTTACCTCTTGTAATTATAACTATCTTTCTTCAAGTCCTAAAGACTCCAGAAAAATATAATATCATATAATATTAGCAAAGTAAACAAAATATTTATTGTAACAATTTCCAAAATTCTAGAAATAACAAAGACATCTCACTGGCTGGACAGTCACCCAAAGTTCCTGTTCAACATTGCGGCATCTATATTCAACCTTCAAGCCTATAGTTTAGGTAAATTTTCTATAAAACAGGAAATTTGAAGGTATATTCTGCCTTGAAATGGCAAAGTTAATTAGTTGCTGTCTTCTGTGTCTTTTAAAATGCCTGGCAGTTTCTTCTGTGAAGCATAAACCCTAAAGGACCATCCCATCTTTAGAAAGTTCAGCAGTCACTTTTTTGTGGGTCCTGAATACCCAGTTCATACAGTATACAATAAGCCTAAATTCATAAAACCTTTAAAATTCCATATTCTGTAGGTCTTTGGAGTGCAATTCCAATCTTGAGAATATACCCCAGAGATGCCCAATCATACTACAAAAAGGCATTTGTTCAATTATGCTCAAAACAGCACTATTTGTAATAGCCAGAACCTGGAAACAACCTAGGTGCCCCTCAATAGAAGAATGGTTAAACAAGGTGTGGAACATATACACATTAGAGTACTACTCAGCGGTAAAAACAATGACATCTTGAATTTTGCATGCAAATGGATGGAAATAGAAAATGCTTTACTGAGTGAGTTAACCCAGACCCAAAAAGAGGAATATGGTATGTACTCACTCAGAAGTGGATTCTAGCCATATAAAGGACATTGAGCCTATAATTCGTGATCCTAGAGAATCTAAATAAGAAGGTGAACCTGATGAAAATCATATAGTTATCCTCCTGGATATTGGAAGTAGACAAGATTGTCAGGCAAACTTGGGTGCAGGAGAGGGGGTGGAGGTAAGGGCAGATGGGTAGAGAGAAGGGAGAAGGGGGGATTCGGGAAAGCTTGGAGGAATGGGATGGGTGGGATGGAGGATGGATGGCTATGGGAGCAGGGAAGTAAATATCTCAACTCTAAGGGAGCCATTTTAGAGTTTGCAAGAGACTTGATTCTATTGGGATTCCCAGGTCCAAGGAGAGGTCCCCAGATTGTTCCTTGGGCAGCAGAGGAGATGGTACCTGAACTGGACTTGTCCCATAGCCATACTGATGAATATTTTGCATATCACCATAGACCCTTCATCTGACGATGGATGGAGATAGAGACAGAGACCCACATTGGAGCACTGGACTTAGCTCCCTAGGTCCAAATCAGGAGCAGAAGGTGGGAGAACATGAGCAAGGAAGTCAGGATCAGGAGGGGTGTGTCCACCCACTGAAACAGTGGGACTGATCTAATGGGAGTTCACCAAGGCCAGTTGGACTGGGAGTGATGGAGTATGTGATCAAAATGGACACTCTGAACGTGGCTAGCAATGAAGGCTGACTGAGAAGTCAAGGACAATGGCACTGGGTTTTTTCTACTGCATGGACTGACTTTGTGGGAGCCTGGTTTGTTTGGTTGCTCACCTTTATAGACCTGTATGGAGCAGGGAGGGAACCCTGACTGTTCTTAAGACTAGAGATTGAGGGGGAGGTGGGAAGGGGGAGGTGGGGAGGGGGAGGGAAAAAGGAGGTGGAGAAGAGGTGGAAATTTTTAATAAATAAATAAATAAATAAATAAATAATAAAAACTTAAAATTTATTATTTAGGTGTCGGTAAAGACTTATTCTTTTCCCTCATCCAGAATATAACTTGTGATTATGAACATTAGTACATGCGATCCCATGTGTTTATCTCAGAAAAAACACAATTGACTGACATGGATCCTGTCTTATTTGGCTCAGACTATTTACCTTCCTAATTGGTGACACAATACATGTGTACTTTTCTTTGAACATCTTTATTTATAGCAGTCTGATTTCTCTTTGTATTTTTATATCTCATTTTCTTTGGCCTCAGGCTGTGGCACATAAGAACCCAGGTTTTATGAATAATACATTGTGGAGCGATGAGAAAGTTTTCAGTTCATAAAACTCCATGAAATGTAGTATCATCCAGCCAGGCTTCAGGGTTATGTGATCTGAAGTAACAAGAAGGCAGAGTGATGACAAGACATGGAAGGATGACATCGTTGAACAGTGGGAACTGTTTGCCTTGTGGAGAGGATAACCATAGAGGACAATGGACTGCAGGACTTTCTCCCATGCCTTGGTAATGTAAATCACCAGGGAATTGAAATGAGGAGCTGTTACTCACTTGTCTTGTCAGATCCTGGAGAGCATCCACTGTTTCTTGCATATGGGTACTCTACATTTTATGTCCCTCAGTTTGTTGTGCATAATCTGTTTTTGTGAGTGGCAGTCATGGAGCTAGACCTTAGCATAGGTGATGCAGTATTCCTGGCAAATGCTGATGGGGAACCAAGACTATGAGTGCTGTTTTCTCCTTATTCGCTGGGATCTTAAGGAGGAATGGGAACTGAAATGTCTTCAGAGCTTGCCTAGGTTAATGGAGGCCCTGAACCTGAAGGCAAACCTTGAATCCCAGTGTTGCTGCTCACCTGACCTCAGAGCAGGTTTCTGTGGTGATCATGTTATGGTAAGCTCTGTAATGTAAACTAATTATAGATGATGAGCAAGCACACAGATACTCAGACATATGCACACAGACAGACATACAACAAAAGAGACAATCCTTCCCAAAAAACAAACTTACAAGGGCAGACAGATACATGTATATTAACTTCATAGGATATTCGAAAATGTTATTTTCCCACATTTGTCATTCATTCTACATAAAAACAAATAACCATGCTGATTAATAATGTACTGCAATTACATTGATTCATCCCACAATCTTCTCTCCTCTTTTTCTCACTCCTTTGAATCTTCTGTCCTCTCCTACTGACATGTCTCTTCTTTTTCTTTCTCCCTTCTTTACTGTCTTCCTATACCAACTATGCTTCTTTTTCTACTGTTAAAGAAGTGAGATTTCAGAGTCACATCATCTTGTGTAATTCTCTGAGGAAGTCCCCAGTTTTTATTTTTAGTAGGACCGCATTGCCATTTCCACAGCACAGGCATCCCTTCTCCACCATTCCCATAATATGGTCTCATTCATTCTTTGGTAAATGGCACTCATATCATTAGTTACAGGCAACTCATTCTTTTGGGGTTAAGATCCGTTTCTGTGGTTTTTAAAAATGTCAGCTTTATGCATCCTCTTCTGTCCACTTTCACTGGTCAAGGTGAATGATCCCAAACAGAGGATGGAGGGCAGAACACTGTGTGCTCATGAGGACATCACCTCTCCTCTGGGTTTCCAAAGCTATCTGTTAACCTTCTGACTCAGAAGAAAGATTGAGAGAGAAAGAGGGAGAGTGATAGATATTGTGACATAGACAGAGATAGGGAGACAGAGAGAGACAAAGGGAAACAAGGAGAAACACTATAATTAATAACACACACAACATAACTGGAACCAGATTTTTAAATTATAATTTGGACATTCAAGGATCACTACACACTATATCTGCAGAGAAAATCCCTAAATGTGGTATGGAGTGACAGTATAGGCACAGAGAAGTCCAGTCTTCCATACTTCTCTGAGCAGGCTCTTCTGTGACCCAGATCTCTAAGTGCTCTCTGCGCCCCCTGCTGGTCCCGTGTTTCCCACAGATGTGTTTTTGTCTCAGCTCACAGTAGCATTCACTCACTGTGTCTCTTGTACAGTAATATGTGGCTGTGTCCTCAGGTTTCAGACTGCTCATTTCCAGGTACAGCGTGTTCTTGGCATTGTCTCTGGAGATTGTGAACCGGCCCTTCACAGCATCAGTATACCAGGTGCTACCACCATTATTATTAATACGTGCAACCCACTCCAGTCCCTTCCCTGGAGTCTGGCGGACCCAGTCCATCCAGTAGTCACTGAAGGTGAATCCAGAGGCTGCACAGGAGAGTTTCAGGGACTGTCCAGGCTGCACTAAGCCTCCCCCAGACTCCAGCAATTGAACCTCACACTGGACACCTGTAAACACAAACAATTCTTGTTAGAAATCTGATACAAAAGACATTTTTTTTCTCTTTCTCATGTCCACACAACACACAGAGTCTCATCTTTATGAGTTACCTTTTAAAATAAGAACAAAGGAAACCAATATGAGCCTTATATCCATGGTAAGTGTCCTGTGTTCAGTGTTGAACCCTGACTGGGAGGCCTTCGGAATCCAGGGTTTGTTTCCTCTGCCAGAGCTGCAGCGTCAGGACAGGGCTGGATTTTATGGGCACAAAGAAACCTTATTTGCATGTCTTCCTCCCATAACAGACTCTGTAGTTGGACATGGGTAGAAGGCAGTACTCAGAGCAGATATAAGACGTCATACACCCTGATGACAGTTATAGAAATTGAACAATTAAAGTAGGTCTGTGTACACATTTTCCTAGTTAGGGACTTACCACACTTTATTTAGTTCTCTTTTCACCTTATGCATAGAAAATGTAGTGTTTCCACACTGTCATGTCTCCTTAGGATCAATGTGAAATTAAACATCTCCACACACAGCTGTGTTTCTAGATATTAGCTCTGTTTGTCCCTCTGTCTCTGCTGGACATGGATTCTTCCTGAGGTGTATCTTGGGTAGGGTCATACCCCCTTCTAAATAAAACTCCTTCACTGTGATAGGAACACTTGAGACTTTTCTGAGTTTTACTCAGTTCTTAGAGATGGTGTCCTACAGCCTCAGGAAGTTTTCAAATGTGATGTTTCTTGTTACTGTCTGTTTTCCTCTCAGTGGTTGCACTCGATTGTTTGCATCCTGAAATTCTTCCTATGATCACTTTTTACTCCCCACTCTTACTTTCCCTTTCCCACCTTGATACCTGGTGACACATGGCTGTCCTCATGCTGTCTTTGGTCAGTTTTTATTTCTGCATATTTATATAGTCAGCACAACGGGGACATTTAATGCATTTTTGTCATAAAACACAAAACTTTTGCATCAATTTTTTTATTTTCAGAAGACTTTGTTTTTATTTTCCCAAATTCTCATGCTTTCTATCGTCTCAACCCCCTTCTGTCACTACACCCAACTTTTCCTTTCACAACCCCTGTATTACCCTGTGCTTTTTCTGTCATGTCCTTCACTTAAGATGTCTTTTCCTATCTTGTCTTCCATTCTAGTTCCAAGCCTACAAAACAGAAGTCAGAACACCAAATACAAACCAACAACAGAGAGTTCAGAGGAATAATTATGGGAGCAATAAAAGCACTAACAAAAACACAAACTGTGAAAATCATAAAACTCAGTTTCGGTGGGAAGGGCTTAAGAATTATGGACCAGGGACCACAGCTGATGTCTACCAGGATGTGCATATTTGTGGATGAGAATTTTGTGGTGTGAGTCACACAATATGCCTGTAAAGGCACCATTAGCTTGGACTTTGATTTGCAAGGTAATTTTTACCAAAGTGAAAATGTTCAAAAATATAGCAGAGCAACAGTTATAACAACTGTACACTTTTATCAAGGTCCTATTAGTTTAGAAGTAGGAAACAGGGGAATTTTCATTTTTAAGCTAAATTTGAAAAGTAACATCAATTCAAGGAAGTTGTGATTTTTCATTCACAGGTTTAAAAGTAAAGAGGTTGATTAAAGATTATTCAAAATTCTTCCAAAGCTGTTTCACAAAGTTTCATAATTTCAGACGCCTATCTATCTATCTATCTATCTATCTATCTATCTATCTATCTATCTATCTATCTTCTCTCTCTCTCCATATATATATATATATATATATATATATATATATATATATATATAGTGCTGATTTGTTTGACAAGGGGAAATTAGACATCTTAGAGGAGTGTGGAAATACAGGTGTTTAATGTGTAATTAAAAACAATATTAATAGGCTATGACAAGTAAAGGGTACTCTAGAGGATTTTCTTGTGTAAAAGAAAAAAAACCCTAAAGGTTATGTTATCAAACAGTCGCAAATGCAGCATATTCCAGATGAGCACTGTTTCTGGGAGCACCTGCTAGTCCTCCACATCCCCTGCTGGTCTGAGTAGAGAGGTTTCTGTACAAGCTCACAATGGAGTTCTCTCACTGTCTCTGGCACAGTAATGCATGGCTGTGTCCGAAGTTTGAAGATTGTTCAGGTTAATGAAAATGTAGCCATGGAGGTGTAGTGACATTTTGTCTTTGATCTGACAAATAAAGATTCCTGATGATCAGAGTGCAGAGCTAAGTCACTAGTTATCCATAGAAGCCAGGCAGTGATGGCACAATCATTTAATCCCAGCGCTAAAATGATAGAATACAACCCTTGGCTATAAGAGATTAAATTTGTGCAAATTAAAAACAGATCTCCTACAAAGGTGATCCCATCACCTGGGATAATATGCCTTTAATCTCAGCAGCAGAGAAACAGACACAGGAGTGACTTGAATGGGCAGAGAGAGGAATTTAAGAGAGGAGAAGCCAAGAACTCAGGTGCAGTCGGAGGATTCAGTCTGAGAGACAGTCTATGATTTTGGAAAGACAGCATTCAGTCAGAGGATTTGTAGAGACAGAATCTCCACCATTTGGTATGAGCATTGGTAGAGATAAGAACTCTCTACTGACTGATTACTGTTCTTTTCTGATCCTTCAGCTTTTGGCCCTGTTAGCTGACTCAGGCTCTTTATCATTAGAACAATTGGAATTTGTGCAACAGGAGGTGTTCCTGCTGATGTTGACTTGGGATTTGAGATCAGGATTATAATATGTGCTTCCACCACTCCAGATTATTCAAATCTACTTCAGACACTTTCTTGGAGTCTGGCAGAACCAGCTTACACCATGACTGTATAAGGAGAATCTACCGATAGTTCAGGTGAGGGACAAGGTCTGTGAGGGCTGTATTAGACCAAGTTCTTACTCCTTCAGCTGTGCCTGGGACAGGGAACCTGAGAAGAGGTACAATCATTATGATACATACATTCCACAGATGACATGCCTGTAACTCTTTTTTGAAACATTGAAACGCTTACAGCTTGGGAAGGGGACCAGGAAGAGGAGCAGCACCAGGAAAACCATGCCTTACTTGATGCTTTAGTGAGAAAGAGATGGGCCTCTCATCTAGGCCTGGACTTTTAGCCTGAGCAGGAGGGCTGCTTTGCATTGTGGGAAGTTCCTGAGAGAATAAAAGGAAGCACAGGACATGGTTTAAAACTTTTCCTCAGGTTTCTTAGAATTGCCCTTTTGTTTCTTAGAAGACCTGGAGATAAAAAATGAGTAACACGTTTTCTGACACTAGATTCCCACTTGTATATAAATAGAAAATTATATGATTCACAGTGTGCAGATCTTGGATGCAAAACATTAAGTGACTCTACATTCATGTTGTACAAACAACAGTGTACCACATCTTCAGTGCATATCCCTGTAAGTTCCAGCAGAGTCTTTAGATGTCATAATATGCACTTCAGGATCTTTCTGACATGAAATCAGGATTAAGGAATAACTTAAAATCTTTTCTGTGTCAATGCTGTTATTTTTTATCACAAACATAGAAAATCCAACTTGTGAGGATGCTACTCAAAAACATTTAGTACATGTTATTTAATTTTTTATATGAGAGTAGATTCAAGGGATTGATTTTCATACACCATGTGGTCTCAGAATATTCACTTGCCCTCTCAGGGATACCACACCTGGATATTTCCTAGTTCCTGTTTTCTGTTTGTCTGTGTCTCTGTCACTATGTCCTTTTTTTCCTACCTTGTCTGTTTACCACTTGAAGCACAATGCAAAAACAGGTTACTAAATATGATTTTTGTATTGCTGGGGAATGGAGAGTCAGCTCTTCATGACACCTCATAAAAAAACAGTTACATGGAAGCAGTCTACATGGTTATGTTACATGAAGCAATAAGAAGACAAAGAACCCTTAGTGTTGACAAGAAATGGAGAGGAGGATGTCCTTGAACAATAGAAACTGTTTGTCTTGTGGTGAAAATCACTGTAGAGAAAAGGGATTTAAGGCTTTTCTCCATGTCTTGGTAAAGTAACTCAGGAGGGAATGGCAGAGAATGGCTCAAAACAATTTGTTCAGTAAATCCCAGAGACTATCCACTAATTCTTTCACATAGAACACCCCACATGTTGTGTTCCTTTTCCCTATGCTCAGATTCTGTATTGTAAGTAGCAGTGGTAGAGACAGGTCTTAACATTGTGGAGCCTGCCATCCTATGCAAGCTCTGATTGGCATCTGTCAATATAAGTGCTTCTGCCCCACTTGTTCTGGATGCACTCTGTGTTAGAAGAACATTTTCAGACATTATGCTCAGTGTGTCTCACCTTTGGTTTGTCTGATTTTTCACTGTGCTTTTTGGATCATGTGAAAGATCACAAGAATAATTGCATATTTTTGTATTATTTTGGAGAACGGGAGTGTGAACACTTTTTCAAAAATTTTTTATTTGGTTATATCAAACAGAGTTTGTGTCCACCTTTTGTTATCTCATGCTTCTAGTAGTTCCCTTACCATGAAACTCTCCAGGAGGTATTTCTAAAAAAATGTGTTCAACAGGAATGCCTTCAAGGTAGATCTGCACATTACTCACAATTATCATCTATTTGAGAGCTGCATCTCTAAACTTGAGTTTGTTTAGTCATTCAATCAGTCATGTCTAGTGGACTCATGAATATTCAGTTAATGGTTCCTAGTACCATGTCAGTATGATATTTTATATTCATACGATGATTAGAACTTTCTCAATGTAGAAAAAGCCATGATAATCTGGGAATTGCAAACCTCAGTTGGAAGAAAATGCTCCCACTAAATTGGACTGTAGGCAAGTCTCTAGTGTCATTTTATCAACATTGAAATGGTGAAATTTTCTTTATGTTTTTTGGGAAGGGACTGGAAAATATTTCATTCGAAACAGGAAAATAGAACTTATTGGTAAAACAGAAAGTTTATAAAGATTTAGACAGAATAAAACTTTTTCAAGCTAATCCATGAATTAGTCATTCCTACTTCCCTCTTTCCTCTGCTACTCACTTCTGACGACCCTTCCTGGCCCCTCCTACTCTCATGTCTCTTCTTTCCTTTCCTTCTTCTCCTCACTCCCAGCCTCCCTGCTAAACTTCTGCCTCTTCATTTCTTCTTTTCTGTTCCTTCTCACTCTCTTCCAAATCCTCTCCTCCATACTTCCTTCCAGTTCCTTTTTTCTGACCATATGCAGCATGTTGTTTCTGCTATATGTGCATAATTGTTATG